TGATTTAACAGGCAATGCATCTGGCCAAGGCTGAGAGCTTGTTCTTCTTTCAGGTCCTCAGGTTTGATCTCTTCGTTGGCGCTGGTTCTTAGATTCTTCGTTTCTGCATACTGGTAGGATTTCAGCTGGATCGCCGCGCCGTTTTCATAGGAGCTCCACAGGAAGACAGCTTGTATTGTCAACAGTCTGATTTGGCTCAGACTCAGAGAGTGTAAAGGCGTGATCGTTTGGGAAACATACGTGAGTCTGTTTTGCCAGTTTCAAAACGCGTGGCTACCGAGGGACAATTACACGAATTTGCATATACAGAGAAAACCAAACAGAGCAGCAAATGTGTCACTGTTGTTTTCTGTCAGAGTAGCACCCAGTGCTCGCTCTTTGAAAACATATGCCAGCGAAGGTAGAAATATCGATTGGATAAAGAAATACGGCTATTAAGCTGTCCTACAGGGGAGAACAGACAGAAGATATATACGACGCTGTCATTATGACACAGAAAATGAACCTTCCGAAATCAGTAGCACTCCTGCATCTAAGGTGGAATTATGCATGAAGATAATCTTTGCATAGAAATAAATAATACTTCTGGTTTTTGATTCTGGGCCCGCAGTTATATAGATGGGTGTTTAAACGATTCATGGTTCAGGACATCAAGTACAACAGATAGTACGACAGTTTGTTGCTGACGCGTTTCGCGACATAGACCGCATCATAATCAGGGCAAGGCTAAGTACAAATGACTGCTTGAAGGCACTTATATCCAACAATCAACCAGTACTTTACAACCAAAATGTCATTAAACTGACTGGTCAGAATGTTAACCAACAAACGTGTGAAGTTCTCATTAAAACAGTCGGATTATCATAGCATGAACACGATTTATCTTATCAGTTTTGCAATCGTCCCCCAGCTTTCGCTAATAACCACAGAAAATATGTATTTGTCTCACATCGGGTTTTCATTGCCATTATATGCAAGGACTCCTTTATCGACATATCTGATTTAGGTCGGTCTTTGTTTATAACAGACAGTGCACATTTGCTTGACTGGATGATTCTCTTCAGTAATCGCATGTTCGGCAATACCGTAATTGTCAGCCTGTCCAAGGCGGACAGCAGAAACGTGCCGTTTTATCCGGATGTTCAGTTTCCAGTTGGTCTTTCCAACGTACACTTTGTCGCAATGTCTGCACTGAACTTCGTAGACAATATCTTCCGGGTTATTAATGGGCATGTACTTTTTATATAAAATTTCGTCCATTGTTCTGCCAGTCTTGTAGTAGACCTTAAACCCCATGTCATTATGGTACCTCGTGATACGTTGAGACATCTGGGATATGAACGGTAAAATTAATACTGATCCATTTGAAGTGGCAAACTTTAAAGTGTTGCAAAAGTATTTCGTCAAGGATCCTCCTTCGGTATCCTTTTTTAGGAACGCTTGGTGGAGATGTGGGATTTCTGTGTTTAAGTCAGAGTGATAGTGCAGGTATCTAGAGTTCACAAATGCATGTTTTTCACAACATTCGTAAGTAATCCATGAAGGACACATGACGACGGACGTAGGTATCGATTGGAGTGTGTTGGTTTTCGATATAAGGAAACCTTAAATTCAAGCATAGAGCGTCCTCTTTACTAGCACTTCCAGAGAAGATATCGAGTGGATAACTTCCATTTAAGTAGTAAAGCGTATTCGGTCATTTTTAACTTTTCCATTCGTGTATTTCACAGAACATTCCAACCTTTCCAGTTCTTCCTCATTTCGTTGTGATAGAGGCAAATGTCATAAACGAATCGGACATAGAACAGTGGTAGAAATTCTGACGGGCATTCATTAAGGGCTTTCCCCTCCAAGTGAACCAATTAAAGATCGGCTAAGACAACACTCATCAGGGAAGCCCATCGTGACAGCACACGTCTGGTGGTAGGTATTGTTCGTGAATTTGAAACTGGTGCCATTCATCACAAGGCCAAAGACTGTCATTAAATCATTCATGCTGCAATTTCTCAACTCGTTTTCAAGTGTCCGCCATTCGCCCATTGTGTTCCTGTCGGGTAGAATATTATACAGTGTGTTAGTGTTCACATTATTGAAATGGGGCAGTTACGTTTAACGAATCCATAATGCAATCTTGTTTATCATGTTCCTTCATTCGTCACAGAATTTCCTTTCTGTCTTTTATTCTCTAATTCATCCCCTTGGCGGCATGTTTCAGTAATTTATCTAGCTTTTTGATTTTCTGGAATGTTACTGCTCATTTAGCCGGTATGGTAACACGCAACGGGTTGCCAGGCTTATGGAGCTTTACCGATGCATAAAATCTTGAGGTTACACGGGAATCAATACTAGGAAGGATCCTTTGCACACCTTCTTGGGGAACCACCTGCGTATTTTGCAAATTCCTTAGAGCCTTAGAGCCAGCTGCTTCTGGCGCATTGTCTTGTCAAGGTTGACATTACTTTGAAGTTTGGTATGTACATTGCAATTCCTGAAGTGATCCAACATCTCGCTTCATATTTTTCAATAGGCATCACCACTATGTTCGCTTCTTTGCCAGCGCAGATGACTTTTATGTTATAATCCATTAACGGCCAAAGCATGACAGGCAGCCAAATTAGGACCAGCTTCATAAGCCTGGTAACCTGTTGCATGTTATCCTGAACAACATCTCGTAGTCGGCAAAAGACAGGACGCCGTAAGCAATCGGGCCCTGAACGCCATCAATAACCTCGTGGCCTGCATAATGCAAAGACACGATCGACAGACCCATTTGTCGACGTGTGTTCACGGAAACGGAGAAGATCAAGGCGGCTATCACTGGAATGTGCGAGGCCAAAACATTTACTGCGCTTGTTGCGTAGGGGAGTAACGGTCACCAAATGTTCTTCGGGTAGGCCTTTGAAAACCGAGCTCAGACCGGTAGCGTTGGATTAATGATAAGAAGGATCTGTACCCTTTGTACTGAGCTGTGATATTATATCACCACGTATAGCAATTCTCCTTCTACAAATTGACAAAAAAAGTAAAAGAAAGTAATCCTAGCTAACAGGCTAAGCCAACGAGCTAAAAAAAATCGTTTATGACCATGCTCGAACATGGTGATTATTCATTCCATTCACGGCTAATCGACTCTGTGTCCCACTGTCTGCGGGTTACCTCAAAGTGCACTGAGGTGAATTCTATGCTCAAGAGAATTAGCATTTAATAAGAAAAAATTACGCCGTGCTTAAATTCGGGTTCACCTATTTGGCATGCAATCCCGAATGCTTATGCCATCATGGCATAAAATGAAAACTGTCATCGGTCACGTTATGTCGTCATTTTTGATTTGTGTATATTTATCGAATTTGTGAATAAATGCGACTGTTTTTAGCAAAGTTTCTTGACGCCAAGTTACGAATTGGCAATAAGGCTGCCACCGAAGAAGAGCTTGAGCGACTGATGGATAAAGTGATGGTTCTGTTTCGATTCATACATGGTACGGCTTAACTGTCATGCGTTATTGCAGCTTTTCACTACCGCAGCGTTTTGCACTTAAAGGGTCACAGTACTTTATATTCGGTTAGCAGACGACGCCCGGATAGCCGCCAGATAGTTTTTTTGTGTTATTTATTCGGATTGTATTGTTTTTTGGAAGTTGTTCTTTTTATTTCAGGTTTTGGTGAGTTGTGAGAGGCATGACCTCTAGGACAGAACGGGGTTGATAGCCAGGTGTATGCTTTGCTTGATCGACAACTTAAGGTAGCAGTAGTGGCGCAGGTTCCAGTTGTAGTCGGCTTTTGAACTAATTGGCTATTGGAACACAACTGTTGACGTTAAGTTCCTTTTCGTGACTGTAGCATCTAGGGTACAGAAGCCTCCTATATGTGGATCTGCGAAAATGGTGATAGTCCGCACAGTTCAGTTTAAATGGTTTCTGAAAGGTTTGTTGAACATATATGCAAAAATGTGAGAATGTCATTTGTTGTTCTATGACGATTTTCGTTACAACGGTTTTTAGCACTCCCGGCAGAAGTATGATATAATCTGATTAATTTAGTGTGTATCATACGATACCATGCCTTTTGCTTCAAGGTAAATTGTAATGGTGCAGTGGCTATGATCATGAACTAGACACCGATGTAAGGACATGTTAGCGTCATAAATGTATTTTACTGGTAAAATTTTGTCAAACGCCGTTCATCCTCTGGTCCACCGGTGAGATGCTGCAAACTGAGCAGGCAGCCCAAAATTTCACAGCTACAAGAGGCAGTTTCTTAAACTCGTGCCGCAGGGATGCCAAGCGAACTGACGCTGCCGTTGCGTACCCTGCTTTCGTTCATAAAAATGTGCCGCGATTCTTTTATCAGCAATCTAACATATTCTCTTTGCTGTTCGATCAGAGTATTCATTTTCTAGTGAGCATCAAAACTAGAGTCTTGGATAGCGATTCATAGTGGCTCTCGTGGTCTTTAATTGAAATTTTTAGAGTCCAATAAATCTTGATTGATACTAGGCGTTATGGGTAATTGAGTACACAAAATTGTAAATTTTCTTGCGATAACAAGGATCAAACTTTTATTACGAGAAGTCGATGTGGACTACTGGACAATGACTTTAACCATGCACTCTAATAATGCGCAGATTTCGTCACATAGGGATTGCTAGGAATTAGAACGACGTTATTGCAATTCACTTTGGGGGCATGATCAAAAGAGTGATGAAGATGAACAGATTTAATTAGATTTTTCTGTTTCGTCTTCCTTTAAAAAGAAAATTTGTGAGAGTAAGGTAGGTAAGTGTGTGAAGAAGAAGAAAAGTTTGTAGACGTTTGAATGTCACTCTTCGTTACACCTTAATGGTGGAGTCATTACTGCGCCATTTTTTTTTCATGAGGTTAATGAGATGGCGCTAACCTTCACGCCATCAAGTCAGGAGTGTCTCGTTTTAAAAGCAGAGTCGACAGCAGTTATGTGATAATCGCAGTACATAGTCCTTTTTCCTTTCCACCGAGTAGTACTCATTCATCAGCCTCAGAAGTAAGGAGGGTGAGTTACCTGAACTAGGCGCAAACCGGAAACTTTTTAGTTCTGAGTCCACTGCTGTACCGATTGAGCAACCCTCCTCATATACAGAGCGACGTTGTTTGATGTGAACGAGGTCGATCAGTAGTGCAGTATTTAAATGCTCGAAATCGTGTGTATTTTGTAATATTTACGAGGACCGACCAGATAGTGTAACCTAAGTAAGAAGTACCTGTTTAGATAATAGTAGTAGTCGAAAATGTTATGATACTTTATTTAGTGTACCAGTTTTTCAAAGCATTTCATTATGTTCCATTTCCATTCTAGTGTAATCTTCACGGTTTGCGAATTAAAGGAAGCTATGTCTGTCTAATGGGTATTCAAATCCATGTTTTTGCATTATTTGCTCGATTTTCGTTAATGTGACGGCATGCGTTTTCCTTGGAGTAGTTAAGTACTGCTCTGCTAATGACTTCTTTCAGACAAGATGAAAAATCTTTGTGCCACCTTTCATACAGACAATTCTTTGAATAATTTAGTTAATTCTCTATTTAACCGGTAAAACAATTCTAATAATCTGATTATCGTAACTTTTATTACTGATAGTTATGAAGTAGTCAGCGGCCCGAGCACCAAAACATGCGACTCCAGGAAAAACCGTCATATCAGCTGGTTCCAACAGTCAACTGTAGGTGATTACTGTGAAAGAATTAATGACATATTCTAGTGTACTGTGAATCAGGATAGACCTTGGATTATGATTGCCTGCGAAAAATTGGCACGGTTGTACTTTATTAGCTAGTATTTTGTACTTGACTTAAGGAGATCGTTGCTGTTTAACTGATAAAACTGTTTTTACTGATAGAGCACTGTCTGATGACTTAAAACTTTTTTCAAATCAGCGTCATAATCATGTAATGAAAGAATTTTGCCAGAAATGGCGCTCTTCACATAAGTATATTAACTTAAAAACTCAGTTATGAAATTTTCGTATGGTTATATTTTATCACATAGCCACCTGTGAAAATTCTTTTTCTAGGCAAAGACGTGTTCGAGGCATTCTACAAGAAAGACCTGGCGAAACGTCTACTTTTGGGCAAAAGTGCGTCTGTGGACGCCGAGAAATCATTGCTGTCTAAACTGAAACAAGGTAAATTACCCATGCATTGTGGTGGTGCCGGCGGAGTTAAGGTTTTGATTCAGAATGTGGATCCATGTTTACGAGCAAGCTGGAAGGTATGTTCAAAGACATGGAGCTCTCAAAGGAGCTAGGCCTCGCTTTCAAGCAGGTGCGGTTCTTTGTTGTGAAGAAGCCTATTTAATGTGAAATACCATTGCGTTTATTACTTAGTTTCTGAATAACGCGTCGACCCTGAAGCTGAATATCGACATGACGGTTAATATTCTGACCATGGGCAACTGGCCAACATATATTCCCATGGACGTAAATGTGCCTTTGGATATGGTCGAGTACCTGGAGGTGTTCAAAAAGTTTTATCTCGGGAAACACAGCGGCCGAAAGCTGCAGTGGCAATACTCGTTAGGCCAGTGCCTGCTGAAGGCCAGGTTTAGATCAAACGTCGGTTCTGTAAGCACGAAGTTGAAACTTCATTCTCAGTCGCGATGTACATGTTATTTCAGGTTCAGAAGGAGTTACAAGTATCGTTCTTTCAAACTCTGGTCTTGTTAATGTTTAATGACCGAGATGAATGGAACTTCGAAGAAATCAAGGCTTCAACAAACATAGGTTTTTATGTTTTACTATTATTATAATCCGTAGAGGCGGTAGCATACTGATTTAATACTTATAGGCACGAAAGTTGGACGGCTATTGACCTTTTGCACAGACCGACATTTCAGACAATTATCACACTTTCCGTTTCCGCTTAATGCCTGCCTTGAGGGGCAGTGTGACTGTTGTTGGAAACGTCGGCTTCTGTATAAGCGTATATGACGACTGTTATATTCTTTTCCACATAATGGTGTTTGAACAATAGTTTTGCCTCTCATTTTATCACGCTACTTCAAAATCGCGTTGTACCTACAGTCAATCACTTGACAGCTACAGCATATAATGACGGTCTTTTCTTCTTTTTAGACTGTTATTTTTGGGTAAGTAAGAAGCGAAATGAAAATGAAAGCTGTATTGCTTAAGCTAGAGCTAGAGAATCTTGCTTTTCAGCGTACGTAAAAACAAAAACGATATTTCACGCTTGAATGATTAGACAGTGACAAAGTCGAAG